CAATACGTTAGTACGTTAGGTGCGAGAATCCCAATTGTCAAAAGTTCAAACGATGAATAGAATAAAAGTTTTAAGTGCTTCCGTAAAGACGCGTACAAAAGCGTATCCAATAAAATGGCAACGTTCCTCTTTTTATATGACGAATAAAATACTTAAGTCTATCACCGCAATTTGCCCTACATACTCCGTTTTCCCTGACTGTTGTTTATATTACAGGCCGGTATGTATGTCACGAGTGTTCATATTGCCGTTATATCAGAGAGCTAATTATTCCTTGTACATGCCATTAGATGCTTGGGGCATATTGACTCTCACACCCTCTCCCACTCTTTTCGTACTCTTTTGTTTCGCTTCGTCTTCTCTTTGTTATTTTCTTCAAGTCCCCTCTCATTCTCTCTCTCTCTTTTAGTCTCTGTCTTTCTCTCTCTCTCTCGTAGTCTCTGTCTTACATTCTCTCTAGGTCTATTATCTTTCTTTCTCTCTCTCAACCTATTATCTTTCTCGCTCTCACTTTGTTTTTCGCTCTCTCTCTCTCATCTGTCTTTCGTTTTCTCTCTCTCTCTCATCTGTCTTTCGTTTTCTCTCTCTCTCATCTGTCTTTCGTTTTCTCTCTCTCTCTCATCTGTCTTTCGTTTTCTCTCTCTCATCTGTCTTTCGTTTTCTCTCTCTCTCATCTGTCTTTCGTTTTCTCTCTCTCTCTCTGTCTTCGTTTTCTCTCTCTCTCATCTGTCTTTCGTTTCTCTCTCTCTCTCATCTGTCTTTCGTTTTCTCCTCTCTCATCTGTCTTTCGTTTTCCTCTCTCTCATCTGTCTTTCGTTCTCTCTCTCTCATCTGTCTTTCGTTCTCTCTCTCTTTTTCTCACTCTTCCTTTCGTTCTCTCTCTCTCCCTTTCTTTCTGTCTCTCTTCTTGTTAGCCCCTTTCTTTCCCCTCATACTTCTATATTCTTTTTCCTTTCCTTATTTGTCTCTGTCTTCCACTCACCTTGTCTCCTCTCTCTGTCTACTTCTCTTCTCTCCTTCTCCCCCTGAATCTTTTCTTCTCTCCCTTTCCTCTCTCATTTTCGTTCCTGTCCCTTTCTCCCTCTCTGACATTATGTTGCAGATCTGTCTCTTTCTCATGCATCAGTTGCTAAGATAGTCTAATAGGCAAAGGCCTTCCCACTCGTATCCATATAGAAACGTACTTACCGAGACGCACCTTATCTTCTTCAGATGGCTACATGCAACAATCTATACGCAGATATATGCAAATGCTGCAATCTGCACTTCCCATTGAATCACGAAGTCATTGCAAACCCGCATAATCTGGCAAATACACGGAGCCGCAAGATATATGCAAAAGGCAATCTGATATCCATAAAATAACCATCATATCGTTTTAATCTCTGTGTATTTCCCCGCTCGCCTGGAAATGCGAGCGTGCAGGTTTAACGAAGGGTTTTATGGAATTAATAAAACAAAATGTTATAGATCATTTATAATCAATATATTTGTTCACTGGACGTATACATTGCGGCGTGCGTGCCGTGGCAGGTGTGTGTGGAGGCACAGTGGTGGTGCGCTCTACAGGAGCACCTTTGGCCCGCCAACCACGGCGCTCGCTTGTGATGCTCGAGGATGGTGGAAGACATCTTGCTGGCTTCTCTGGAGGGAGGTGACACGCAGGGGAAGCACGTGCTATTTCTTGGACTCTCCGTCGCCCCCTTGTCGTCCTCGAGGCCGTCAAGATAGGACAGTCTTCTGTTCACCTCCGGCGTGAGCGGCCACGGCCTACTCTCGCCGGGCGACTCAGATCGCGAGCGCGTTAGGGAGCGGCGCTTCGGCAGGCTGTGACTGCGGCCGAGGCCACAGCGCCGCAGCTGGTGGTCACAGCGGCCCATTTGGTGGCCGCAGTGACGTGACCAGGGAGGCATGTGGTGGTCACACTGACTCATGTGATGCTGACACGGGTGCACCCGCCGGCTGCAGCGTGGATGAGGAGGGTGGCTGATCGTAGCGTAAGGGCAGTGGGAGTGGTGCTTGAGAGGCAACCGGGGCGACTTGCGTGTCGCTTCGCGCTGCTCTTTTTTGCGCTCTAGAGACGGTTGCGCCGGATGCGCGGCCTCGGAGAGCTGCAGCCGGGCCACGTCCTGTATCGTGGACGCCGTGGAGAGCGAGCGGTAGGTGCTCAGCTGAGAGGACGCGTGACTGCCCGAGCTCTCGGCGTCATTGGCGGACGCCGGAGGGTCGATGCTCTCAGCGACTTGAAGCTGCTCGCCAAGCCCTGCGTAGTTCGCAACCTCCGGCTTGGGCAGCTCGTGCTCGGGCGACCTCGTGATGGGGTCGGGCAGAGGCTCCAGCCAGGGCGAAGCCTCGGAGGGCGGCGACGGGGGGAAAGCCGACGGCGCCGACGGCCACTCCGGAGGCAGAGCCGAGGAGTCCAGGGTGTCGCCGTGAGGAGGCGTTGCCGGCGGCGGAGGGAGGCTGGAGAGGTTGGGGAGGTGGGTCTGGAAGTCGGTGAGAGGAGGAGGGGGCGGAGGCAGCGCCGAGGTGATGAGAGACAGGTCGGGCAGGGCGCGCTGGAGGTCGGAGCGAGAGTGCGGGAGGGGCGGCGCCAGGAAGGGCGGGGGAGGGGGCGTCGGCACTCGGGGATCCAGCCACACCGCCTCTGCGCTCACGTCCGGGGCCCTGCGAAGGAGCACAGCCTATGTTACGATACAGGGGCTTTTTCGGCAGAGAACACTTCTTCAGTCAGGAAAAAATATGTTAATTTTTTGGTATTATATTCTCTTGCCGTTGACAATCACCTTGTGGTCTCCTATTAGAAAAAACAAACAAACAAAGGAAGAAAAAATCATCCCAACCGATTAGCTTTCATTTCCAACACATTTTCGTCCTGTTCCTATTTATAATTATCATCGTGAGAAAACTAAATAACAATTATTTCATTTTGTTATTTTTTACCGCTATCTTACTTCATACGCTCCATTTGGCTTTGATTACAAGAGACATTAAGGCTAATGTTATTATCATAATTACCATCATAAGCTGCAGTCATTATCATGATGAGAATCCCGGTAGAACAGTCCACTGACCGAAATCTTAATCAAACGTCCATTATTTGGATATATCTTATTTATCGTTCAAGCCTTCGAGTTAGGAACGCAGGAATATAAACAAAAACAAGAAATTGAAAAGTAACAAAAGGGATAACAAATTATATATATATGCGAAAAAAAGACAAAAGAAAGGAGGAAAGGAGAAGGAAAAAAGAAGAAAAAAAAAAATAAAAGAACTAATTTGGGCTTATGACCTCTTCAATAACTAACTTTGCATTGTGTGCGCGGATTAAGGCTGAGCAGATAGCCAGAGTTGGAACATGACTTTCGGGTTAAGAAAATAGACTTGGAAGTTCAAATACGACTTCAAATTAAAGATTAAGCTTTGTGCAAGAGAACCTGTAGTAGGAACCGGACGCGGGGATCGAGGACAAGCACCTTAATGACTAGTCCTTGACGAGAGAGAGGAAAAATAAAAATTAAAAAATAAATAGTATAAAAATAATGCTAGTTCAATTAAGATGCTAAGGTAATTTGTTCTCTTGAATACCACTATAGCAAGTTCACTGCTATAAGATCCTATTCCGACGCTAAAGTGAGCACTAGTCGACACGGAACCTCTTAATTGATCATCTTAAGACGACAGGACTCCTTAACTACACTCGCAGGGCCACAATAACCCAGGGGCACTCTACCGGGCCACGTTGTTGGGGAAGAGCGGCGACAGGGCGGAGGGCGACGAGGTCATGAGGTGCTGCGAGGTGCACGAGGCCGCGAGGTCACTGCTCCGGCGCGCCCTCCGCCACCGCACGCCCAGGACTGCAGCCCCGCCCACCGCCGCCACCGCGCCGCACACTCCGGCCGCCACTGCTACTGCGACTGCCGCCACGCCGCCGCCGCCACCTGCAGGACCTGACGTTACAAGGGAAGGAAGTGCGCGGGGTCTTTACTTAAGCACAGGAGACGGGGATCTAGCGGGTGGGAAGAAGGGGTCGACGCGGTAAGAAGGTACATATTCTATCTATTGTCCTTGAAAAAGGAGAGAGAAAACAATGCAAGTATGAAGTATGAAAATATCTATATTCAGAAAATGCACAAACCGAGAGCAGATTAAAACAGAAGTGAATGGAAATGAGCAGCTTATCCACTCGCGCACGAAGAGGAAGAACGAGATACTAACACTCGGCTTCGTCGGCGCCGTCGCCAGCAGAGCAGTTGGGCTGGCCGTCGCACACGAGGCCGCGGTGGATGCACAGGTTCGCCGTCGTCAGGCAGCCGCCGTCCCTCGCCACGCCCACGCAGTACACGGACCTCGGGCACGTGAAGCCCTCTTGCCTGCTGCAGTTGCCTGGCGGGGAGGATGGCGGGAAGTCATCGCGGTGGAAGGTCATGCAGATGCTTGGATGTTTTTTTAATCTATTTATCTTTGAATTAATCAATTAATTTATTCATTTATCTATTCATTTTTAAGGAATTTCAACAGCCTGTTCTATGTACGTCGGGTTGAATTGGAATGACGAATAGAATGACTCAGGGTCGAAGCGTATGTTGGAATGAAATGCATAAAGCAGTGTTTTTTTCATCCATTTACTTCTAGGAATTAGTTCTTCCCTCCAGCCCTTTGCACCTAAATACAAACTACCCTCCTAGATTTTGAAAATAAAATACAGATTCAGACCTTGCGATTAACAAACAGAACAAAACGTACTTGCTCACACTGCCCCACCAATTATCTCACGGCTGCTTATTATTTTTAAGCAACAACAACAACCGAGATAAAACATCCCACAGCAGCCTCAAATGGAGAAATAAGAAGGGGAGGGATTGCCAGGGGCGTGTGTGGCAGACTGCGAGACAAAGGAGTCCGCCAACGAGAAGTATACGGTTTCAGGAAGAGTCAATTTATCCTTCCCGCGTGGGTTTGGGGATCCAAGGAAGGGGTCAGCAATAACAGAAAATCGT